AAAAAAAAGAAAAAGGTGAATTTTTCGAGCAAAGCCTACTTGATGTTGCTGATGTGGCAGTGTCAAAAGCATGGCTAGCAGTTGAGATGACTCGTCCATGAGTTCTATTTTCCTCACCCTCCAGTAATTGACGGTATTTGCTGATCTCGGCATCGAGATTCTCAAAGCAGATTATTATAGGCTACGCCGACTTCAGCAAGAAATAGGAAGGTATTAATTCTACTCACAACTTTCTCAATAATGAGTTTCTCAAGTTCCACAGTGATAGCCTGGCACTGTGCACGGACAGCACGAATTTCGTCGTCCTTCTCGCTGAGATGAGCCATGGTGACACGGCTTTCATCTTCGATCTGGTAGTTGAGATCCTGGATAAGCTTCTCGAGGATGTGATTCTGCAAATAATATGCTCTAATCTGCCAAATCTGCTAAAATTTCCATAAACTTACGCGTCCTTCGAGGTTAGCCAGGTTGGTGCGCATTTCAGTAAGCTGAGAGCGCAGCTGCTTCACCTTTTCCTAAATTCACAGATCATCCCGTGTTGGTCCCACAAGGATTACTGGGTTTCTTACTTTTGTTGTGCTAGCATCTGCTGCCAAACGGCTGCTGGTACGGATCTCAATGACCTGCTTGGAGTACCATGATTCCATTTCACTACGGAACTTGGATGTATCCTAAAGAAAGCCGTCCGAGTAGTACTGTAGCTATACGGTATGTATCGATACCTCATCGTAAAGCTTGCGAATTTCAGCGATAGCTTCCAATAGTCCTTGCCGGAAGATTGCACGATTCTCTTCGGTTGTATCTTGGTATTTATACTTATCCAGCTTCTAAAAATACGAATAAACTAGATCTCGTACGAAAAAAAGGGGCGGAGGGGGAGCAAAAAATTTCTCGTTCCACTTACAACGTTATTGCTGCTGGCAATCAATTTGCACTCCTCAATCAGAGCCTGAGCTTGGTGCTCATAATTCATTCTCTGGAGTGACTCCTTCTCGAGCATCTAAATAATTTTTTTTTGCTTTTTTGACGATTTTCTTTCCTACAAAATGAAACCAACCTGGCGCTGTGCAGCAAGGTCTGAGCTAAGCTTCAGATTTTCAGCGCGTATGCGCTTGCATTCTTCATCAATCACTGCATTACGTCTCTTCGTCATACATATCTATAACACATCTCTTAGTTGGTCCCAGACGGATAATGGATACGGTAGAGCCTAAGAATCATACCTGAGCTTGTAGGTCGCAAAGCTTTACTATCAAATCGTCCTCGTTCCCTAGATTTCGGGCTTTTACGGCGGCATCGTATCTGAATTTGACACCTTTTTTAGCCAAAAACTCGGTGATGCACCATGTGCGGTACAGGTTGGAAACTTCTCAAAAAGGAGTTCTAGGGCCACTAAAGCTCATACCTGTTTCTGATATCAGTCAAATCCGCAGTAAGGCCTCGAACTTCTTTTTCTGTGTTTCCATAATCTCTCTTAGCATCGGCGATGATCGCTTGCGATTGCTTAAAAAATGCAGATCAAAAAATGTTCGCGTGGTGGTGGGACCTCAAAAGTTTGTAAACTGACCGCAATCTCTTTTTCGTACATCATACGAATTCCGGGTGCGTGCTTACCCTTCGTCAACCTCTCCAGGTCATGGTTGAGCTTTCGATTCTGTGCTTCCAGGAAACGAACCTACAAGTAACTGTTACAGTTTTCTTTAAATTTACAATTTTAGCTGTATTGACCTGCTCGATATAAGCTGCTAGTCGATCGTTCAGTCCTCGCATCTCCCTCTTCTCCCTTTCGCGAATTTCCCGGATTTCTCCGGCAGTCACGCTACTGCCAGCTAAACATTTTCCATTATTAGCTATTCATATAATATTCCAAAATTAACAACTCACAGATGAATTCGCTTGTACCGGTATGCGCCATACTGAAAAAATAACAGTTTATTATAATGTGAGCCACATGGATAGAAAGAAAAAATTGAAGAAAAAGAATGAAGAAAAACGCAGCTGACAGTCCATGAAATCCTCTCATTCATGAGAAATAGTACAATGATACAATGACATTTAAGTCTTGACTCTTCAATGAATACTGGTTTTTCTTATACTAGAAATACTAAGGGT